ATGAGAAGTTAATRCTCATACTCGTTCCTGCACTCATTGCACTGCAGCAAGGAACAGTCCTAGACGTATGGTCACTAAGTATTAAAGACAAAAAAAAAATAGCGTAATTGAGCCCACAAATGGAGGGCTGGATCCYACCAAGCCTGAGGTCCTTTTGTGTCCAAAAATAGGAATTGTGGATACTCACCACAGAAGAAAAAATGCCAAGTACCCTCCCGGGCTGAATTCACAGCTTATGGAAAGGCAGATTTAAAAGAATGCAATAAATTAAAGAGCCACCAAACTCTGCAGAATGGAGAAAACTTAATCAAAGCAATAGCCGTTTGCTTCCCTCCCCCAGCAGCCGAAATCAGCTCTGCGGAGCTGTTCATGCGCTGAGGCGATAAGTGGGTCCCGTTGGGCACCTGGCAGCAAGATTTACATTATTCAGAAACAGCAGAACTCGTCGGGGACAGCAGCATAGCTGAGCGAATTATAAATGATAGTAAAAGTGGTGGTTCAGTTTATATAGCCGGTGCTCCGAAACAGAAATACAGATTATGACAGGTTAATGGGGACTGTGACATTCCCTACACATGTAAATAAACACGGAATTTGAGAACCTCTGTTTTCCCAAAGCACCAGTAAATAAGAGTGTAACAGAGACCTCATGTAAAGCAACCATATGCTTATAATTACCCAAACATTGTAGATCCCCTGTGTGAAATTTCACATCTTTATTTGCTTCTATTTTAATGTTTACGAAGTTAGTTGCAATTTTTCAAAAGCYGATCTGGTCCTAAACAGGAAAGACAATTTCCTACGTCGTTTGAATTTGCTGTGCAGGCATGAACAAAAKAAGCGCCCTTCTCCCTTTCGGAGCATCCTCACTTTCTCGTGCTTTCCCTGCCGCAGTTTGTTTCCCGGTGGCGGGATGCGTTTGAGGCTCCCTGCTTTGTGCCCATACGTTGGGTCCGTAGCCGTGAGCAGGAGACAATGTGGTTCCAATCGGAGGCAGTGACAGAAATGCCGCTCGCTTGCGGAGAAGCAGCGTGGCCACTGATTCATGGCAAAATAAAACTCTGCGGAAAAAAAGAAAGAGAAGCCACAGTGTCACATTGGGTTAGCCCCRTTGCTTTGCCCAACTTTTCTTGTGAAAAGACCAAGGGGTGAAGACGGAAGCAAAATGAGCAGAAATGTGGAAGTCCTTGGCTGTGGTGTGGGACGAAGCGCGTGGGACTTGCCGGCACTTCCCGGCTCRCGCCGGGTACGGAGCGGCCGGAAAGTGAAACCGGACTTTTCCTGGAGGGCTAGGGCATGGGAACTAGTGTGGATTTTCCTAAAGCAACCCCATTTCTGTGGGCACACTCCGGATACTTGAGCCTGCTGCTAGTTCTCGTGGCGTAGGAGGGACAGCGAAAATGCTGGTTGGGATTAACTTTGGAAGTCGCCAGCCGGTCCTGAGGTTGGACAAGCTCGCATGAATGCTGAAAAGAAATCAGTGGTTTCCTGTATGAAGCAAAAACATCCTATTTGGCTGCCGTGGTGGTCCAGAGAAGGGTCCAGCTCCTCCGAGGGTGCCCGTGCCACGGGCAGGGGAGCGGGCAGCGCAGTGGGCAAAGGGAAGCAGCCTGCGGGAGGCAACAACCTTCTGAAAAAGGGACATTCCTTCTAGAACGGAGCACCAAAAAGCGACATTTTCAGGAGCCCTGCAGTAAGGAAGCAGAGACGCTAAAAATATGCATGTGGAAAGCCATGGGAGTTAATGCCTCGGAGCTGCCGTCCTCAAGGACGAGTCAAGCCCCGTTTTCAGGCGGGCGGCTTGGAGGGGCTGGTGCTCCAYGGAGAAGCGGCACATATGGACCACGCACGCAGGCAGTTCAGAAACCATTAAGCTCTGCCAGTAGGAATGAATCCCTACCCCCGATTATGCCRTTTGAATACAGCCTTTTAGGAGCTTTTTGTGGTGAAGTGGGAAGAAACCCGTATTTTGACTGCATATGTTTTCCAGTCTTCCTARTAGAGAATGATTTTGGTTCGCGGAAATAAAAGCATGCAATGGATTGTGCATGTTAAAATAAACCACAACCTAGCTGTAAGGAGAAGGGAGTAGGAGCAACATCTACACACTGATGCTCTATAGAAAGGCCACTTACACACCACAAGAAATCCTATACAAGCCCACAAAATAGAGCTAAAATAGTGTTGCTTGGGCCATGTGGCCTAACCACTTGCATGGGGATGAGGTTTAATACTAGTCCTTAAATGCTGCTGCTCACTTTAGGCTTATGATGAGAGAAATTTCGATTAGACCTTGGGGAATTATGTTTGCTTTCAGCCACCTCCTGACTTTCAAATTTTGCTTTTTGGTTATTTTTTTTCTAAAATAGCAAATAAACATGAGGAAAGAAATTTTTAGATGTGGAAACTGTGTGTTCTAATGTAGGGAAATTCATGACACTGCTAAAGCTGCAGTTTAGAAACAATCTCCAAATTGCATTTGTTTGGAGATACGTGTATGAAATTAAAAAATCATTCTAAAATATATGTAATATAATCAAGAAGTGAAACCTAGTCAATTTTAATTCATAAGAAAATAGTAAGAAAATCATTCTAAAATCTCTGATATTATTTCTTTCTGGTTGCTGCTATTATCTTGCTGTTCCTGCTGTTGTTGCTGCCACTCTTTTGCCTTTCGCCGAGTTCTGCTTCCCAGATCCCAAGTGTTTTGCGCGTCTTGATTAATCCTTGCATTAATCCTGGACCTTTCACAGGTCCAGTCCCATGCAGCCCTCTCGATATCAGTCAAACCAAAACTTCTGCAGAGGATTTGCTATTTTGGGCTCACACACACCTATAGGTAACTGCATACAGCTGCACAACGCCCTGACTGCTGCATCTGCTCCGTTCCTTGTGCTCTGTCCCCTGCTCATCTCCCCGGCGTGACAACTGACTCATGCCCCTGCACAACGGCGTTGTCTTCCCACATGTCAACGCAGCACCCTGAGCAATGGACACTAATGCCAGGGCAAATGGATAAAATAGCAGCACTGGCTATTTGATTACTGTTACTAGTGGTGTGTGCTGGTGTGTATTTCTATCCTGGGGTAAAATAGTGGGTAATGATGTGCGGATTTGGGTACTGGGCAGCTTAGGCACCATGTGGAAGGCCACGGGAACCAGTGGAGAGGCTCCTATTGACTGCAAAGGGCTTCAAGTCAGGCCCAAAATACACAAGAGAACGCAGAAAGCGACTGCCCAAATCAGTTTTAGAGAAGGCACCAAAAAAAAAGTGCAAAAGCAGCAGGTAGAAATCACATGAAAATGACGGAGTTTGCTCTTGAGAGCAGCTCTACGCTAGCGCGAAACCACCTTCCCTTGGGAGCAGAGGAGGCCAAGGGAGGGAAAAGCAGAGAACAAAGAGGGAAGTGGAGAGAGAGCCCGAGAGACAAAGGGAGGAGAGCGCGGAGAGCCAGGAACAGCGAGGGGAGCAGCGGGCGGGAGTGGGAAAGGGCAGCCATGCAGCAGCAGCGCTGGGGACCACAAGGAGGGGATGTGGAAAGTGGAACAATATCAGAGAAGGAAAATAGGACAATGAAATGCAGCACGGCCGAAAAGAAAGAGCCTGGGGAGCTAGAGCTGGGCACAAGTTGGCAGAGAAGAAACTGGAGCTGATTGGAGATAGCAGCCAGGAGCGTGGAAAGAGTGAAGAGGGCACAGAAGGGGCAGAGGGAAACAAAAAAAGTAATGAAGAGGCTCTGGGAAGAACTGGGTCACGGCAAGAAAAGGTAGCCACGGAGCTAAGTACTAAGCAGAAAGGATGGGGACGGCGAAGGGGAGCGGAATAGAAAAAACGAGGCGCCTGAGAAGTGAGGCTGAAGGGAAAGGAGGAGGGGTGGAGGCCCCACAGTGGAAGGAACCTGTTAGGAAGGGGAATGGTCAGGAGGGAAGTCATGAACCCGGGGAAAGGCACGGGGAGTGCAAGTCTCAATAAAGAGCAGGGACAGAGACAGGAGAGAGCAGCATGGGAACTGGCAGTGTACATCGCCTGCTGCTTTCGGGCACCGTTGGTGATACTGCTTTGTAGCCCTCTTTCTTCCTAGTTCATCCACTAGCACCTCTCCCACATCTATTCCACTGGAAAGAGCTGAGCCAACGGCCAATCCCATTCTCCAGGCCAAGTGACACGATGTGTGTCACATCCACACAGTCATATCCAAACTTCCGTCTGAGAACAGCCCCTGGCACAAGCTCTAACTCAAAACAGACCTGAGCAGCGTCTGGGAAAGCTGGCCTGGGCCAAAACCACACCCAGAGACATGCAGAGAATGTGTGGTGGGTCACAGGACAGAGCCTAAGCCCCAGTCCTGCCCTTACTTTGTTCCCCAAAGGAGAGCTGGTCCTGGTGCCTTGGAGCCTGAACCCCAAATTTGCTCTGACCGTGTCTCCCAGTTGTCTCTTCCAGCATCTCCAGGAGCTGGTGATGGGACTGAACTCCTCAGATGCCAGCAGGGACCTGTCGGGATAGATGTTGGCTCCATATGCCCTGGCTCAGGCTGCYTTATCTCACTGAGAGAAGTGCCAGAAGCCCAGGCATGAGTTGCCCTCTTTTGTTGGAAAATGAGAAGCAGAAAGGAAAAGACGAGCTGGAGCTGCGTGTGGACGCATGGCCCATGAAGTGAAGAGCAGCTGCTAGTGGAAGATCGCTTGGTCAGCGATGTGAGATTCCGTTTGAGGAGAAACCCAATTCCCTTTATTTTCTATAGCCTGGGCAGTAACTGTTAAGTGCACATGCCTTGCAGGCTGCARTGCCTCTCTGCAATGAGAAGAAGATCCACTGGTAGCTCCACAGGAGGAAACTGGAGAGCTAGAAAGGGCTGTAGAATGGAGGAAAGTAGGAAAGATTGGGAGAGGAGGCAGAGGAGAATGATGCATAGTGATAAAGGGACACCAGACAGAAACAGTAATATGGCCCAGGCAGGAGGGCCATACAGTGAGGAGGGAGCAGGACACATGGGGCAATGGAAGATCCTCGCCACACTTTGTCCAAGACTGCAGACCCTATGGATGTGGTTAGAGGTGAGATGTGATTGGAGGTGACAATGTGAACACTGGGGATGCACCACTCTAAACAGCCAAAAAGGGCTGGGTGGACCCTGCTTGTMCTACATGGCTGTCTCGTGCCATGACCAGCCCAGCAGGAGGTGATGCCCTGCTTGGAAGAGACTTTCTTGCTCACCCCAGGTAACCTCTTCCTGGGGCTGACTGTTCATCCCCGCTCAGTGCTGCTCTGTCCCAGGCCCCCTCTTGGTGCCTTCAAGAGTGGGACCTTCTTCATGGCCATGCAGATGTCAAGAGACTGGGGAGAGTCTCTGGGTCTTTATTCCTGCCCTCGCTCTTTCTGCTCTCCCGAGTCTCTGGCGACAGCCTCAAAGCTGCTGCTCTTTGGACCATAGAGTGTCTAGTGTGGAGACCTCCACTTGAGGCCAAGTACTGGGAATATCCTGCTTTGTGTGAAGCTCCTCTGCAGGTAGCCGTGCGAACATGCAGAGTCCCAAGCAAGATCACAAACATGAAGAGATGTTCGTGCCTGAGCTCAAGACACTGAAACCGTAGCTCTCCAGAGGCATAAACTGCACCTGGGAGCACCAGGGTGCTAGAGACACTGTAGATAAGACGAAGCGAGAGGTGCTGCAGAGACGCGCGCACGGAGGCATCTGCCACTTGCGCCCTGCTCGCTCGTGGAGCGCGAGGAGCTCAGGGAGAGCAGCCGCGCTCTGCGAGGCCGCCACCGCGGTGGGGCTGGGCGCGCTGCGAGCGCCGCGGCCCTCGGGCTGCGCTCCCCACCGCCCCCACGGGGACCCCTCGC